ACAATGGAAATCTGTCCGAAAGTTAGTGTCCGAACTGTCCAATCAAAAGCAATAAACATTGGACTGGGCATATGATCGAAGACACGTAATTTAATTGGACCATGCGGAAGATCAGAAATTAGCTGTAATGCTAACGTACTGTAATACGATTTCCTGTTAACAATTAATACAAATAAATGTGGATCTAATGTCCTGTAGACTCTCATGAAGTTTTCTTTCTTTTTTTTCAACACTATATATTTGCAAACTAACTAAACTATATTTAAATTTCATTCTTTAATTTTATCTATAAATTTCTTAATTAATAGATCTTTTTTTTTTAATGGTATTACGATTATTATCATATTGATGATCCATCTTTTATTTGATATATATCGATCCACTCCTTTTTGAGCTGATCGTGATCGCTAAATGCATACTTTCAGGTTAAGATAGTCGATTGTGATATGTTTGATCATATTTTTACAATACCGTTTATTTTATCTGATACTTACCTAACTATTTAGATGGTGAAGCTAGATGGATTTCTTGACGAAGATATGCATATACAAGTTAAAGGGAGGTTTGTTATAAAATATAGTGTTCTTTTAATAGACTTATTATCAGACATTTTTAAAAGCAATTTTTCTTATTTTTTCTTATAACCAAGCTGTATATTTATTCAAGTAACGATTTTAAATTTAAATGAATACATATGTATATATACATATATATGTTTGTTAAGCAAAATCATTATTGCTAACTTTCATTTAAAGGGAAAAGGTAAATTGGATAAAAATAAATCATGTAATTTCCACTTTGTGGCTTGATTTTCAGCAGGATGGATTTCTAAATCAAGAAAATCTATATCAGCATTATCAAGATCGTCTGGGTCTTCTTCAAACTCTTCATCAATCAATAATTCTTCCCATTCGTTGATAGCACTATTCCAACTAATTTCTGAAGTAATTTCTTCATTTTCTTCATTTATATCATCTATATCAGTCTCTTCGAATACTTGGTCTTGGTCAGATAATGAAGAACTAGAAGCAGCAGAGAGAAGTGAAGCAGAAGGAGAGTAATCCGGTTGAATATGATTAGGTTTGGTCCTTTTTTTATGAGCTCGTAAGATTTCTGCACGGAGTTGACTCATTGCAACAACTTTTTTATCCTATAATAAAAAAAATTTTAACATATTAAAATTTCATTATTTTAAGTAAAATTTACCTTGAGTTTATTTCTTAAAGGAGAATGTAAGAAGCCCATTGTAGAAAAAAGTCTTTCTACTGAAGCAGTTGTAATGCATATACCAAATAATTGGCATGCAACATGACTCAATTCTGACGCGGCACCAGAATTATGCAACCACCAAAGAATAATATCACCTTTAAATTGGTTAAAGGTTTTTTTAGAAAAAGGATACTTTTGTTGTTTGTAAAGTTCCAATTCATGAAGCAAACAGTCTGGTTCGTTACCGAACCAAGCTTTATAATAATATGATAGCCATGCTCCCATGTAAGTAAAATTAATATATAGTTGCGTTTGATTAAAATAATCTAACCTATATAGAGGATGAAGAACAAAAGAAAGAATAAGCAATGGTTGTTCCCAGGTGGCCCATCTTTTTTCAAGCCTTTCAATCATTCTTGTTCGAAATTGATTTTCTTCAAGTTCTTTAAATATTTGCATAAAAAAACCAAAGGTATGTAAAACATTATGAAGACAGGCTTTATCACGTTGCATAAGATCAAGAGCTCCACAAAAAGGATGAAGTATCTTATGCAATGTTGTAAGAGAATCCCAAAAAGAATCACGGTTAATAGTAACTTTGATATCAGCTGGAAGTTTTAAATCATTATCCGAAGCAGCGTCATCTTTGGTAACAAGAGTCTAAAAAAAAAAAAAAAACTTAGTAATAATTTTCCGATCAACCTTTAAGTTTCTAATTAAATAACTTACTTTTAATAGAAGCTTATTTTTAAGAATACTATCAAAGCATTCAAAATAGCTATTCCATCTTGTTACACTTGGAGTTACAAAGTTAATATATTTTTTTAAAACACTTTTTTGTTCATCATGAAGTTTAGCGGTAAAATATACAGAATGATAAAAAAAAGAAACAATATGAAGTGCACGTTTGCTCATATTTTTGAATACTGCAGATTTTTTAAATATATCTCCTACACAACAATTTGCTTGATACGTGAAGCATAGAATGAACACTTTATCATGGATTTCACATCTCAAAGAACGACGAGCTGCTGCATATGATCTAGCAGAATCAGTGACAAGACAGTTAAATCTTACATCTAGCTCTTTTGCTTGGTTAAAAAGTGTATAGATTCTGGTAATTACTTCTTCTTGCCTTTGTCTTTCAATACTAATGTCTTCCGCTCCCCAAATTAATATTTCTCCCGAAGATGTAATAAATACTATACCCATTAGCTCTTGATTTATAACATTGCGCCAGCCATTGAAAGCAATTGTAACACCGATCTTATCTCTACAGCCAAGCTCTTTAATAGTTGTTTAGACTTCATTAGTTGCACTTGTTAGTATACGATTACTAAGTGATTTTCGGTCAGGTAGTTTTAAATGTGGAGAAATAAAGTGGAATAATTTCCTAACTTCAGGATTTTCAATCCATCGAAATGCAACTCCAACTGAAATAGTTGCTCGAAGTATGAGACATTCGAATTTGGGAATTTCAGAAGCATGAAGTGGGCGACCAATATATTGCGATAATGTAGATTGCTTTTTTAAAACCGAAGTATAATTAGAAGCTAATGAATTAGAAGAAGTTGATACTGAAGTTGAATGATTTTTATCTATGTCTTCTTCATCTTCTTCATCTTCTTCATCTGTATAAGACATCATTACTTGCTTGTTTGGTGTTGAAGATGTGACTGAACCAAGAATAAGCTGTATTTGTTCAGGTGAATACTTCGCGGCAAAGTATGAACAATCTCTGAGATGATTAGCACAATAACGTTTTGTATTTGTTATTTTCATACTATCATCTTGTAGGGCAAAATCTCTTCCTACAGCATTCATACATGCTCAACAAATACATTTTCGATTACTTTTATTTGCCCATTCATTAGGAATAATATAAAAGTATTCGGTAAGAGAATGCGGTGGCTTTCCTCCTTTGCGTTGTATAATTTGCTTGATAATTAAGAGATTGAATAACAATTAATTAACCAAGAGTTTGGTGAAATTATTAG